GTGATGTTTCATGGACCAGCACTGATTCTTCCAAGAATTTCCAGTAAAATAATTTTAAAAGACAGGCAAAAATACAATGCTATCCCTGGCACATTGGACCAAAGTAAAAAGTATATGGAGTACAGGTTCCTTCCATTTAAGTGCAGGGATAGTGAAAGTCATAGGCTAGGGAATTTGAGGAAATGGAGTAAATCTGAGGAGGAAGAGTTTAACAACACTTCTCTGGGAATCTCTTGATCCTCCAGCAGAACTCTGTAGTTAATTCTGTTGGAAGTAGACTGTATCAGACCGAAGGACTTAAGATATCCCCAGAGAAACAGTATAAATCATATATGCAAAAGTGAAATCTGCAAATGTGGAGGGCCAATTATATGTCTCATAAGTTAAATATGAGCCAGTAGTGTGATGCTGTAGCAGCAAGGAGGAGTGTGCTTTTTTTGCTTGCATTAATAGAAGTATAGTTTTCAAGTATAGGGAAATAATACTATGCTCGCCAAATCTCATTTGGATGCCAGAATGTCAACGCATATTAAGGATTGGGGTAGATTCAGAGATGAGCAAAAAGGTTGATATAAGACATGGAGAAACAAAAATAAGAAAATAGAAGGAGCTGAGCATTATCAGTTTGGTGGTTATAAGATGTGTATGTGTGACACATAACTGAAATCTTTTAATATCTCAAGAACTGTCACATAGAGGAGGGGGCAGACCTATTCTCTGCTAACCTCAGAGGGTAGAAACATGTGTTTTACATCATATGGAAATAGATTTTGTATTGAAGATACGAAGAAATCTTTTGACAGTGAGAGCAGTTCAGCAATGGACTCAGTTGCCAAGAGCGGTGGTGGGGTTTCCTTCTCTGAAAGTCTTCAAAAAGAGTACAGACAGCAACCTGCTATGTATGCTTTAGCTACAGACCTGCAGTCCCATAGGGCCCATTCCTACTAAGATTCTGTGTCTTTTCTTTAGACTAAAACTATAAACTCATGTATAAGTCTAGAAATTTCAGTCAGAAAAACAAGCTCCCCAAAACCTGGGTCAACTTATCCACAGGTCAATATGAGTATTAGCTACAGAATCTGCCATCATCAGATGTACTAACTTGACTTAGGATGTTGCATATCATGCTACTCTCAGCTATTTATATTGTGATGAAGTGGCATCATAAACTAATCTGCCACCCAACACATTGCTTTCTTGCATTTGAATGCACTGTGCTGAGACAAGTTATTGAACTACTTCATTTTGAAACAAAGAATATTCATTAGCATGGCCACAACATAGAAGAGGAAAGAAAATTTGCAAACAGCTTTAAAAATGATAAAGCATAAGTTCCTGAACAAGTGATTGCCTCGAAATAAAATGTTTGACGCATTAACACCAGCCATTATGTACGCTGGCTGACGTAAATGTATGTGCCATACAAGATGAAAAGGATTATTCTAATTTTTGAGACTTATGCATCATGCTGTCTTTCTCAGTTAATCTGAATACTTCTAACTTCTGTTATATTTCTGCTTCAGGCTTGAGTTTGTAGAACTTGGCATCGCTACTTTGTTTACTAAATACTGTTCTTGAGACACCGTTGCTACTCTTACCCTTTAGTATTTCAAAATTGTTCCCATTTCTAGAGCTCTAATTGCTGTACCTCTTAAAAGACAAAACCCATGTTTGTTTCTTTTTAAAACGGTTTCCTATTTATTTATTGACCTTGAAAATTCATACCTGGTGTCCTTGAGCTTCTTTCTTCTTACTAGCACAGTCCATTGTGATCATGGTAGCAGAAGCATGTCTACTTACGTTCATTCTTCCCCTTTTCATGTGTATGGTTCGTGGAAAATAACAGCAATAAATACTAGTTACATGTAGATAATATAGTTTTATGCTGTTGTGGTTCCTTTGTCTGCCCACCCAAGATTCGTTGATCTGTTTTTTTTTTCTCTCCAAAGAAGGCACCACAGATTTCCCAAAATTGGGAAATCTAAAGGGTTTAATTCAGGGTGAATTGACACTGTAGAATTAATGCAATTTGACACCATTTAAATCTCCGTGGCTCCGTGCTATGGAAACCTGGAAGTTGTGGTTTGTAATTTGGTGAGGCATGAGCAGTGTTTGGCAGGGAAGGCTAAAGATCTTATAAAACTAAGTTCTATGATTCCATAGCATTAAGCTATTGCAGTTTAAGTTACATTAATTCTGCAGAGTGGAAGCACCCTAAGTCACCTCCCAAACTAATGTGTGCGTTTTCTGTAGATTTTGGCTTAAAATTTACACTGATAACCTGATTTTGATCAATACATAAGTCAACTACGTGTATAAGTTGAGAGCAGGCTTGGGGACCAAAATTTTGAATTTTTCTATAATTCATGGATATGTTGACAATCCTTCACAGAGAGCTGAAAGCACCAATGCCACATCAGGGCCTAGTTGGCAGTTGCTGCTGTCATTTCCCTCCCAGACATCCAAAAAGGCCAGAAACAGCACCACAGCAAAGAGCAGTGAGGTTCAGTGCTTCTTTTAGGTTCTTCCAGGATGAACTAGGCTTTCACCAGACCACTCAGGGAAGCATATGGGTTTTATCCATTGACTCATGGATAAGTCTGTCCAGGGTTTTGGGGGGTTTCATTTTTCCCACTCACATTTCTATACTTATTCATAAGAATATTGGATATGTAATTGACATCTCAGACATTTTCATGTAAATTCCTGACAGACTAGCAAATTTTAGCAATCCCCGTTTTTGTTGTATTCAGTTCTTAAAACCATTGGCTTTAACCCAGCCAGTAGTGGGTAAATTTCCTATTTTCATCGAATGTATATTATGGCTGGTGGGGTTGAATCCAAACAAAAGATGTGGTTAAAATTAATGAAATAAATAAGGTGTTTTTATGTGTCTTCAGGTCTTTTCCACATTGTGACAGCCCTATCTCAGAGTTTATTCAACAAAATTTATTCAGAGGTTTCTTCTAGGGCAGAAAAACTATGTATTGCACATGGTTACCCTGTAGGTTTTCCTAGTCCAACACTCAGACCACTATGTCATGCTGGCTTTTGTGCTTTAAATGAGATGTGCATTAACAATTTGTAAATTAACAACATACTGTGCAAATAGTTCATCGCATCTGTTTGCTCAAATTACTTCAGATATACTTTTTGTTCTGTCTTATGCTTTCTGTAAATAGTCTTTATTTCTTTACACAGAAGCTTACTATTTCTTCATCAAAACCCAATATTTATCTTTTATTTAAGGTGAACAAATTTTATATCACAGAATTGCAAGGCTTGGATAATAGAAAGATAATTCTGTTTCCTGTTGTTTTTTCCATTGGCCACAAAGTATAGTTACTGAAGAGCATATGAATCCAGAAAGCCCCAATTCTTGCCATATTTCGGTAGGACCAAGGAGCACTTCTGTCTGAAATACAGACAGCTGCTGCCAGTCAGTGTAAATAAATTGGAACTAATAGTCTGATGTGGTGTGAGAAAGCTTGTTGTGTTCCAAATATAATATAAACTAAGCTTTGGAAAAAATAACAATCAGGTTTGCTTTTCTTGGGAAAGTAAACTTTCATGACTTCAGATTTACTCAGGTTGACTTAACCTGTGTAACACTTTAAGTGTGTATCAGAAATAAGCCTTAAAGTGATACAACTAATATTCCAGTCCAGAATGTCAAAGCATATTCCAGTTTCTCAAATTCTTTGGTTTATACAAGGTCTTATTTTAGAAACTTTAATATCTCAAGGATCAGCAGAATTAAACCTAACTTTATAATTGTGGTAAGTGATTATAACAATAATTAAAACTTTAAGGCCCGACTTAAAGTTCATTTATGGGATGAAGATCAGGCTAGCAAATCTATGGAGCAAAATTATTTACTTCTTTTTGTTGATAGTTCTTTAGGTTAACTTAATAAAAATGAGTTGGACTGCTAATGGTGTTCAAAAAAAGATATCCAAATATTAGCGGTAATACTGTGCTGGTAGAATCAGTCTAATAATGAAGTGTACCACACTGGTAGGAAGAAATGAATATAGTAATACACCCATGAATTTTAACCCTCTTCAGCACTCAGTATAAAGAGGCTTATGCTTGAGGGAACTAGACTTTGATAGGATCTTGTGCTATGTCCTTCAGGTTGATGGACAATTAGCAGCAATCTGAAAGGAATGTGTCACAAATATTGAGAGTGTTCATTCCCCTATGTACATATCAACACACATAAGGTCCCCATACATTTTCACAGCCCTGTGTACTTGTAAGTTTTTTCATGTCTGCCTTGTAACGCCTAACAGTGAGGATCTAGAGAACTTGCAAGAGGATTTAGTTGTCAACATTTTACCCAACATTTTAAAACTTCAAGTTTTCTAAGGCCTATTGTCTATGGAAAAATTAAAGTGCCATGAAACAGAAAACAACCAGCTTGTGTTATAAACTCTGCATCTTAGAATTGCTCGAATAGTAAAATTGTTTACTTTTTTCTTGCTGGTATGGTGACTCATAGGAAATTTTCTGGTTTCCACAGAGGTCAGAACAACTAACAGATGTATGATTAGGATAAATTAACAAGACATGCTGACCAACATCTTTTGCATAGAACAAAACCAAGTAAAAATCAGAATTTGATATGAGGGTGAAATGAGACTTAAGAACATTGTTTTGTAGTATAGGTGACCTAGTCTTTACATCTGTGAAATCCAGTATTTATGAGGCTTTTGCACATATTTTAATTAAGGACATCTTCACAATATCTTTTTATGTTCTTGGAAAAATCTGTGGGATGCAAGTGGAAGAAGGTACCACTTGCATCTAGCAGATAGCTGCAGTGAGTGAGCACATGCTTGATTTTCAATAACTTGTTGTTTGAGGTTGTCATTTCAATTCACATGATCATCATAGTGGTCTAAAAACTTAAAGATAACTATTCCTTTATTTGTGATTTTTTTTTAGAAATATTGATTTAATGATAAATTTGTGTTGATTTGTTTATTTTTCCCCAGGAGGATCCAAATAGTATTTCATTAAACAAAAAAGATCAACGCAATAATAATGGAGATGAGAAATCACAAAGCATGGAGACCCTACCTCCAGGTATTACTATGATTATTGTTATTATAATAATAATAACTATTGTAATTGCTGCTGCTTATAATCCACCACACAATTAAAAGGGGTAGAAACCAATTAAAACTATACAGTTTTAATACAATATAGTGCCTTCTTATATACCCTACCTTATATCCTCTTATAATAGCACTTTATATCACCTTACCTCACGAGAACAACCTATACGATCATATTTTATTAGGGGGAGTACGTTGTATTGAGAGGGGAGGGTGATTGGGTGGCAGCTTCCTATGTAGGTCTAGGGAGGGTTTCGGAAATTATAATATTCTATAGCAAATACTTCAAGTTCAGCGAGAAGGTAGCCTGATCTTCTGCAGCCTCCTGCAGTAGCACTTTAATTTCGCCTCCCTCACAGAAGCATGTAAAAGATTATGGGGTCTATGCTGTTCTGAGAGAGGAGAGTGACTGTGAGATTTCTTGCTAAGAAGGGCAGGGGAGGATCATAGCTGACTATATCACTCCATAGCAAATATCTGGGTTCAGAGAGAGGGTACCTTAACGGCAACTGCCGTAACTGGGAATTGTGTTATCCTACTAATCAATGACCTATTTACAATGGCCAACCTTCCTTTTGCTAATGAGTCATGAGTTGCTCCTGGGGGAGGGATTTCCAGAGTCGGGGTGCCCCAATAGAAGTCATCCAGGGGAGGGGGAGATGCATTCATAGATACCAACATGGGACGGGGGCTGTGATAGAGTCCTTGTGCCTCTGAAGCATCTTCCCCCTACAATAAATCGACCAGATATCCAAAATGACAGGCCCACTGGGCTAAAAGTCCTGTTGTTAAATGCCAGGTCCATAAATGGGAAGATAACAGCTATCTAGAATTTGATCCTGGATGAGCATGCGGACCTGACTTGCATTACCGACACCTGGTTGGACGAAGGCAGGGGGAGGTGTAAATCTCACCCTGCTTTGTCCACCAGGCTTCGGGGTGCATCAACAGACTAGGCCTGGGGAGAGGGGAGGCGGAGACACTGTGGTCTATCAGGATTCCATCACCATGATCAGGTGCCCAATCCCGCTATCATCCACATTTGGGTGTGTCTATTTAAGACCGGATAACTCGGACAGATTAGGGATTCTGCTTGCATACCATCCACCCCCCTGCACAAAAGTCTCCCTACCTGAGCTAATGAGGGTGGTTTCTGGCCTGGCATTGGAGTCTCAGCAGCTATAAGTGCTGGGGGACTTCAACGTCCATTCTGAGACCACATTTTCAGGTGCGGCTCAGGACTTCATGGCCACCATGACAACCATGGGGCTGTCCCAAATTATATCTCAGCCCACTTACATAGCTGGACTCACTTTGGACTTGGTCTTTAAAATGGGAGGTGATGCTGAGATCGGTCTGGAGGAACTCTCAATGGACCAATCTTTACCTGATCAGGTTTAGATTAACTACGGCTCCTAACCTCTGCAAGGGCGGGAGACCAATTAAAATGGTCCGTTTCAGGAAATTTATGGATCCTGATGGATTCCTGATGTCTCTTGGGAATTTTCCCATCATAGTGGTACGTAATCCAGTTAAGTTCTGGTCGATCTCTGGAATAAAGAGATGACTAGGATGGTGGACAAGATGACTCCTGAACATCCCTTCTCGCTTACCAGAGGCAATGCAGCTCCCTGGTTCAGTGGCGATGAAGCAAGTGAGACAGAGACTAGAGTGCCGGTGGTAGAAGATTTGGTACAAATCTGACCGAACATGGGCTAGAGCCTCACTTAGGGCCTACTTGGCAGCAGTGAAGGCAGCCAAGAATGCTAACTTGGCTGCCTTCATTGCGTCAGCAGTCAGTAGACCGTTTCGAATGGCCAGGGGCCTTTTTCACTGTGATTCTTAGTGTGGGGCTGTTGAACACTCAGCAGCTTGATGTGGCAATTTTGCCCATCATTTTGCAGATAAAGTCATTCAAATCCTCTCCAACTTATACACTAGCATTATGGCAGTTCCAGGAGATGTACAACATTTTACCCCGCTTTTCTCTAGGTGACTTGAGGCTCTGTCCTTGCGCTGAATATGCATGCCCAATGCAAAATACATCTCACCACGTTAAAACAGTTGATTTTTTTTATTTCGTACATTTCTATCCCGCCCTTCTCCCCACAAGGGGGACGCAGGGCGGCCTTTAATGAAGCCCTTAATGAGATATGCCACATTATAACAGGAACGAAGACATGACTGTTTAAATAGGCTTTTGGCAATGATTAGTCCACACTTGAATGTGGACCTCATAGGAATGATGGTGTTTTAACTGATGTTTTATAACTTTTATTCTTAATGTTGTTTATTTGTGCTTTGGCTTATTTTGTGTGCTTTTCTATTGATTTGATGTGTTATTAATTGTTATTTTATTTTTTAATGTATTTTAATGTATTTATTCATGTTGTGAGCCACCCCGGGGTTCTTGGGGAGTTGAGGCGGGGTACAAATAAAGATGATGATGATGATTATTATTATTATTTATAAAAGTCTTTGATTATAAAAGCCCCTCTGAATTTTTTTAAAGACTATGGAATGACATTCTAGCTTTCATGGGAAGCAAGTTCCAGAGTCATGGAGCAGACATGGAGAAGGTCCTGTTTCGTGTAATAAAACAGTGTTTTTTATTTGAAGAGTAAAATATGGATTATAAATTACTAAACTCACAACTGCAGCAAGGATAGAAAAAAATGTTTGGTATAATAAACCACCTGAGAGTGAAGTGGGGAGGTTTAGGATGCAGACCAGAACTGTAAGGTTTAAAAGTATTTTATAATCATAAATTGTGAAGATTTCACTCCATGTATGGGCTGCAATTAATTAATCCACAAAGCTGGCTATTAATCTTTTTAAGTTGTCAGGAGACAAGTTCAGGTTTTTATCATCTGCATGAGCTGACACTGCTTAATGTAGTGAACTATAATCCTTATATTTTATTAACAGTAGTGAGATCATCAAAAAATGCTGTTTACGGTTTTGAAAGGAACTGTTTACTCTTTAGAAGTTAATGGCTTTGCAAAAGCTTATATACTTTTATCACTTTGTTGTGGTCTTCAAAAATAATGCCAGACTTTAATTGTGTGGTTCCCAGAACTTTCAGTCAGACTGAAAGCCTTTCAGAATGGCTGCCCCAATTCACCCACAAAGGGGTAAGAGGGGAGGGAAAGGCTACAAAAATGCATAGTGGTTGAAGCTTCAGAACCTTGTCTGAGTGACAAACACACCAAGTTCGCAGGAGAAAAGTGTACGTCATGTGCCACAGTTTTCCTTAAGGGCTCTTCCTAAAAGATGTTGCAGTTTATATAACTGATGTTCCAAAAACTCCATTCTAGTATTTTGATTGGGGTGCAAATGGACCTAGTCCTGCACAGCTATCAGGTGTGGCTGCTAACAAACATCATACAGATAACAGAAGACCGAGAACATTGGAATTCTAATATCAAAGTATTAGGGAAAATAATTACAAGACCTGAGCTTCCAGGATGGATAAAAGAGTGATATGTTTTAATTTCAGAGATTGGTAAAAAAGAACTCTGCTTTAACAATAGGGAATTCCTTTTTCTTACCATCCCTCCCCACTACAGGCTTTTGTGTCACTTGAAAGGTCAGTCCTAGCAGTTTATAGAGATCCTTCAAAATGGTACAAAATATGGGGCTTGGGCTGCAGTGACAGGAGGAAAACAGCAGGAGCACCATGTGTAGACAGGAATGCCTCTCACATCATCATCAACAACAACAACATTCTATCCTGCTTTATCTCTCTAAAAAGAGACTCAAAGCACATGAGACCCTTATGCTCACCCCCCCCCCTCAAAGAGCCCCTCAGAACCAACTTGAAGGCAAGCAGCTAACGGAATTTGCAGTCCAACTCCTCCACAGGTGCGTAAGCACTATCTGATTTAGGAGACAGTCCCTTCCTCCCCCTACTGTAGTGATGACAATGGGGGCGGGCCATACTGAGCATGCACTGTATAACCTAGCCAGAAATAATGAGGATGAGAGAAGAGAGCAGAAACTGAGAGCATCCTAGAAGTGCAAGTGCTTTTTTTAAAGTAACTTGCTGGGATGAAGGGCCGGAAGGTTTCAGGAAAGGGCTTTTTTGCCCTTTGGCCATCCTGAGGGAAGCAAGGGTTGTTGCTAAAGCAAAGGAGGACCCTTCATATACTCGCCTGGAGATGGATGTAGGGGTTTCTAAGACCATTGGTAATACGTGTTTTCTGATGGTCTTAGGTGATCCCCGTGAAAGGGTAGTTTGACCCCCAAAAGGGTCGTGACCTACAGATTGAGAACTGCTGATGTAGGGAGAAAGGTTTTCCTTTCTTCCAAATATTTACAGTGCCACCTTGCTGACATAAGAAACTATCAACTTATTTTTCAAATCTTGTCAAACTAGATTCAGGGTAAATCAAAGTTTTAAAGTCACAAATAATGTCATGCCTTATGCCTAAAGTAATGTCACTGGGCATTGCACCCAGTGCTAAAACTGCTATTACATTCTCACTCTTGCTACCTTCCATTTGCAAAACAAATCCCAGATTCAAATGTGTCAATAGCCAATGAAATCAAAATGGAGAGTTTATATAAACTGACAACTCTGTGTTCAAATAACACAGATGAAAACAGTCGGTGAGATTAAATGTGTATATTTAATGTCAAATAAAGCTTAATCTTGTTCCCAAACACTTCATTGATACTTTGTGTTTATCAGTCAAATTAATAGTTGAAGCTTTTAGGTGTCTAAACAATCAGGTAGGTGGGTGTTCATTCTTAGGGCAACAAAATAGTTCAGTGAAGTGGTGGGAACAGAGGATGAATATTTGGTTATTTTAATTGTTACTGTAATATTTCCTTGAGGGAGTTTTTGCTGAGTAATTGCTCTGAGGCTGTAGAAGGATAAATGCTTCTTAAATCACATTAAACCTTGAAACGTAAATGTCACATTGCTCCCAAAAGATATGCTCTACAAGCAGAACATATATTTCATATTTAGTTTTTACTAGCTTTTGCAATTTTCTTGTATTGAAGGAATTTCACTATTAAACAGAGTACAGTATTTCAAATTATACTGTGCTCTGTAGAGCATGTCTGCATTTCTGTAACCTTTGAATGACAGCCCATTCAATGAGCAGAAAACAAGTGCCTACTTTTTAATTCATTTTGGAGTGGATGGACGTATTCCATAGTGCATTTGTAATTCTCTTGGTGGGTATCCTGGGAGTAGAAGTCAATAACTGTGGGGTTTCAGTAGCATTAAACAGTCAACCACACCCAAAAATATTCTCTCTCTTTTATAGAAAATTCATGTAGTTAATAAGGCTGTTCAGAATGCAGACAGCATTTGCTTCTAGCCACCCATACTTTCATGGGGGCCAATATTTTAAGTCCCAGATAAGACATATAGGCAAAAAATGCTCTTGATTTGGTTCTATTAATTTTTTAAAAAAATCCATACTCACTACAAATATCATAGTATGTCATAATAATACATTTACCAAGAGAAACTCTTTTAAATATTCTCTGTTATTTAAAATAGCCTATTTTTGCTATGGATTATTGTTGGAACCTGAGGCATATGAGGTGTGCAACAGATATGAATGTAATAGTTACTTACTGTTGCATGACGTAGGAGAAAATGTTTATGGCATTGTAGCAATGCAGATGCTTCTAATTCACATCCACTTTGCATCAGTGGCTTTGAATCATGATATAGGATATACTGATGCGTAGTAATCCCAGCCAAATCCCCATGAAACATCAGTGAATGTCATATCATAATTCATTTTTGGAAGCATGGGAACATAATTGGAAACCTGAAGTCACGGGTAGGATAGAATTCACCTGCAAAAGAGTTTTGGGTTAATGGGCAGTGCTGGATGAAATCCCATGACAATTGTTTATTCCACTTTTCTATCACCTAAGTCAATTTACTGCAAGTACCATATTTCATTGCATAGTACTTGCCATTGAATAATAGTTGCGCCCCCTTAGTTGGGGTCCCAGTTTCGGTGTTTTAGCATTCTAGCATAATAATCTCAACCCTGCCCACACACCTGCCTTTTAAAGCTACAGGGCTTTCTAGCCAAGAATGAAGTCATAAGAGCTATGGGGCTTCTCTTAGCTGTTGCCAGTTGAGGGAAGCCCCATAGCTAAAAAAAATTCACTACAGTATAATCACACAGCCCTGAAAAGTGTGACTATTATGCAATGAAATATAGTATTTCTTTTCTAAATTTGACCTGTTACTTATAAAATCATGCTTCCCCGAAAATCCTTGATCTAAACATTTTTGTTATATTTTATTTCTTCATTTCTATGACTCGTTCTTCCTATATAAACATTTCTAAAAATGGGGTGCATATTAGAATCTTAGATGTATCTTCTGTTTTTTTGTTGGTGGTGCTGAAATTAGGGTTCGTCTTGTAATTGATGGCATCTTAAAATGGAAGGAATCCAGTATTATAAATATAGTCTTTGATTCACAAACTTCCTTTATGCACATATACAATTATCCAGCTGTTTTCTATTGAGGGTTTCTTGTTTATCTTTTTCATGGCCCAGCACTGCCTGTAATGATAAATGCATTCTTAGTTGCTCCTCTTTCCACCTGTGTACATTTCCCTCCAGGTCTCTCTATTCCCACGAAGGCACCAGTATTGCTGTAGGGCGGTATTTACTTATGCTTAGAACCACTAATATTCCTCTTTTTCTTTAGGGCTTGTAACATCTGTCTTTTGTTTTCACTGTACACTTGGTGAATGCACCAGTGCAACCACAAATATGTTTTTGAAACTTGCCCTTTTCTTTTCCTTTCTTTCTTTCTTTCTTTCTTCTTTTTTGAGAGAGAAAGAAATGGCAAGCCAAAGAATAAAAGAAAACTTGGCGAAATTGAGTTCTTTATTTTTTCCTCTGACAATTGGATGCATAAATATACAGTTGGAGAGGTTTTCCAATTAGACCATGTAATATCAATTATTGACTTCTACAGATATATCGTTATGCCCTTTGTTTCTGACATTTGTATTCACTTTTCCCCAGAAATTTAGTCATATTATTCCAAATAATGAATGAAATTCATTGATAAAATTTCAGGGTTTTTAAAGAGAGAGGGATTTTAAAAATCTCATTGGAAGGATGTATATCAACTCCCTTTCCTCTGGAAAAAGTATGTAGGCAGCAAGAGCTTCAAATATTGAGTGCTGGAGACATGAAAAGTTAAGAGGTGTATATTGTTAATTGAACAGGGTTTCCATCTTTTAAATAGTGAATTGAGTTGTGACATTTCTGTTGTACAGTTCTGGTGTTTGCTTGTTTGTTTGTTTTGAATACTATAGTATTTATGTATTTGGCTTTCTTGTTGGGAGGAAGAATGAAGTAATGGAGCTGAGACACTGTTTTAAGAATTTGGGAAGTAATTTTATACAGTTCTCTTTTCAATTGATAGAATTTCAGTGCAGACATCATTTAAAGTCCAAGGTGATCTAGAGATTTGTTCGAGCGAAAATGAAAAACAGGTTTTCTTTTAATATTTTTAAGCTATTGCTGAGGTACAGTTAGCCTCTGAATGTGACTTGTAGAATTTTGAATTCAGCAGTTCAAATGCGCCTGAGCCAAAATTAAATATTAAACAGTTTAATCTTACTCATACTTTATAGCCATTCATGTTTTTCATTTTTGATGAGAATGCATTTTCAAGCTCAAGTGAGCAATGGATCTGGCATAGTTCTTATCTGAATGCTGTGCTACACTTGCTTAGATTCAGTTCATTAACTTGTAACGCTAGTAGGTGACTTTAAGTAGATTAAGTCTCTCCAAAGGTCATCTGGATTTATTATGAAGTATTGGTTTAGTACCTCCTTTCCAGAACGCTTGGGGCCAGAAGTGTTCTGAGTTCAGGGTTGGTTTTTTTCGATTTTGAAATACCTTTATTTGCATACATAATGACCCAGACTGGAGATGGAACACAAGACTAACACACAATTCATTTATGCTTCATATGAACCTTGTGCATATGGCTTGAAAATAGTTTCAATCACAATACTTTTAATAAGTTTGTGCATGAAATAAGGGTTGAGTACACTGAAACAAAGGTGTTACTTTCTCAACCACCTATGTGAACAATTTCTATGATTTCAGAATTCTGCATAAGGAATACTTAACCCATATTTCATTCTCAGTCGTTTATAGAGATTTAATGTTGAGCAAAAAAGCTATAGTATATATACACAAATCAGGTCCATCTTTTTGAAATACTGTATAGTTTTCTTTAAGGACTAAAATGTGTGTTAGGGCAAATGTGTTTATGCATTTTAACATAACTGGTATGTATAAAATAACACTGGTATCTGGAGTCTGGATTGGAACTGCCACAGGAAGGGTTCCAGCTCTGCCATAGTGCCAATGAAAATCTTCTAAATGATTTGGCAGGAAGAATGATGTAGTTGGCTCTGGTGCAGGGGTGGGAATCATATGGTCCTCCACAGTTCGTTGGAATGCATCTCCAGATCACCACCACCATTAGCAGTGCAGACTTTGGCTGCTAGGATTTGAAGCCCAACAATATTTAGAGGGCCACATGATTCCCATTCCTGCTCTAGTATAAAAAGCCACATGGGAATAGGTGACTTCATTAGGACCGTGGTGGTGGAAGAATTAAACTTCTCTTCCCATGTGGCATAGTGCTGATCCCAATTGAGCTTCACTGCAGCAGCTCTATTAGTTTACAGACTGCATCACATTAAATTCAATAATAGCTTATCCTTGTTTGATTTTCACAAGCAAATATATTAGGTTTTGGATCTGTGTACCAGCTGCTCAGTGTGTGCTGAGAACTTTACAATGAAGCTCAGAGGGCAGGTTGAATCATGGATGGAAATTTTATGCTGAGCTGAAGAGTGCTGCTATTGAATACTCAATGATTACCAGGAGAAGAAACCACTTGAGTGAACTGGAAGGAAGGAACTTTGCCTGTTTAGGATTGGGAGTAAAGTGTTGATTGTATAAAAATATTTTTGTGTGTATAAATTTGTTAACACTTGTATTTCTTTTTCTTAGGAAAGGTTAGGTGGCAAGACTTTGACCAGGAAGCCTATGTTGGAGTTACCATGGTCAAAGCTGGCCAAGACCCATATGCTCGTAATAAGTTTAATCAAGTGGAGAGTGATAAACTGCGCATGGACAGAAACGTACAAGACACTAGACATGATCAGTAAGTACTTAGAATTTAGACAGAAAACTGTAAGTTGATTTCCTGTAGCCTGTGTCTCTAAACTGAAAAGTGTAGTCTCTATTAAAAAAATGCAAATAAGTAACAGTTCAGCTTCAGTTCAGTATTTCGACTCTATTTATACTTCTGACATGTTAGAATCTATTTAAATATGTTAAAAGTTTGTTCCTAAATAAATATAAAATGATGATAATCAAGGATGAGGGAAAACATTTTGATTTAATAATATTTATTAAACCAATTTTAATTTCAGCTATTTTTATCTGTTTCATAAATATGTCACCAATGGTTGTGTAGTTTTAAGTAACTTTGTCAACCCAAAAACAAAATGTAACTTGAGCACTTGGCCGAACTGAAAAATGGTTCTGTAGCAATTGCCTTTCCGTGCTCTAGAGCGGTGGTTCTCAACCTGTGGGTCCCCAGATATTTTGGCCTTCAACTCCCAGAGATCCTAACAGCTGGTAAACTGGCTGGAATTTCTGGGAGTTGTAGGCCAAAAGACCTGGGGACCCACAGGTTGAGAACCACTGCTCTAGAGCAAAGATTAAAACTGAGAATTTGGGAGAGAGATGTACAACAAATAGTGAAGCATGGGCCCGTGAAATTTATCATGTAACACCTTTTCTGTACTTACTTGTATTTATGCTTTTTCATGAAACTAAAATAATTGTTGTCTGAAAGATCTCTACTGTAAGTGAATTGGTGTGATTTTAATTTACTGTATATGTTCAGGTATAAGTCAGCTCACATATGAAGTGGTCATTTCAAGGAGAGGGGATAGTACTCTGGACTCTGATTTGGATTTGGGATTTGGGCTTGGTTGTGTTTTTAATATCCTAATACTTAATATTTTAATATATATTTATAATTTTTTTTGTTTACCTAATGTTAATTTGTTTTATACTGTGACTGTTTGTTGCTGTTGGCATCTAATGGTTACCTGTTGTAAGCCGCCCTGTAAGCCGCCCTGAGTTCCCCTCGGGGTTGAGAAGGACAGGATATAAATGTTTGAAATAAAATAAAATAAAATAGTATGCATGCAATCTTAGGGGGGGGGGGCAGACACCCGAGCAGCACAACCATTTTCCCTCCTGACATTCAAAAAGACCACAGTAGAGAGAGTAGAGTGTTTTTTTAAAAGTTATCCTGGAACTAAGATTTTGCCCTTTGCCACAATACTTAGAGAAGGGGTGACTTTTAAGATAAGAGTTAAGATACAACAGTCACATTGACCTGTTGATAAAGATTTTTTGGTTGATTTTTTAAACTAATATTTCTAGACTATAGGGTGATTTCATGTTAGTACTATCAACATTTAAGTTCTTTCACTTAAGGGTATATTATTGGTCTGATGGTATTCATGCATTTGATAGTATGGTTGTTCAAGTCCAAAAGTGTTATCTGGTGCAATTAATTTTATCATATTTCAGTTTGTGTAGCAGAGTCATGAATATCTCTTTCAGCATGTAGAGTGCTTTGCATTTGTTCTTCTTGAAAGAAAGAAGTAAGTTTTTTTAAAAATGCACTTCTGATACATGAATAGGACAGGATCAAATAACTAGGTTGAATCTCCTTTCCAGGATTAAAACACTCCTTGCTTATGAAAAAACAAATGCTGGTTTATTCTTCCTTCCTTTCAGTAATTTAAAAACAAATGCTGGCTTATTCTTCCTCCAAGACACACCTGGAAGTGGAAGACTGGCACATGCCATGAGCACCTTTTGCTTGTGTATATAGCTTTAAGTTAGGGTTACTAGAATATTGTCAGATAATTAGTTTATAAACATTCCCTGATACTATCTTGTTCACTTCTCTACATGGAATCAGTGCCCCACAATGTCTGACAATGTAAGATGTGGCTACCTTTGAGTGTGCAAGATTGATAATTTAATTACATTTATACTATTCTTCTTGGGTTTACAAAGAACTTTGGTTTTCAACTGATTTATTGCTCAAATTTGTTTTACTGGGTTCTGTTTGAATACTGGCCTGATAGCCTTTGTAAGAGTGAAAAATTGTATCTTACAAATATTTGTCTATATGGAAATTTGCAAGGTAACTACCTTATAAGACACATATTTCCTGTTGCCTTTCACTTTAGTAGTTGTTTTTAATTATTGAAAGAGCTGAAGCCAAGATACGGCTTAGTTCTGAGTTTGATATTCCAGGTTTTATCTTATTCGTTTATGCTAGAATTTCCTTGGTAGAGATCAAGGTCTAAGGACCTATGTAAATATCTACAGTAAACTAATAAAAGAAGCCTCTGAGTTGTTATACATAAAAGAAAAATGATTGCAAATTCTCTTGCTCTTATGGCATATATTTAGAAGATATCCATAGGAGCATGAAGCTTTTACCTGTGTTGATTAATTCTGGAGCGGAATAAACAAAAGATTAACAGAGCCTTTTAGTCCTATTGCCAATGAAACTTTTAAGCAGCTTAATTTTTTATGGGTATAAATATTTGGGGATTTGATTCACTTTAGAGGTTCTACATTCAACTTTCTCCATTATAGCCATTCATTTTGATCAGCTTTAGATGGAATATTATGCTATTATTGGTAGGATTAGACTAAAACATAACTGAATAGTACATTCACTGCTTTTAAACTACAAATACTTTGTGATTATTTGTAAAGGCCACCTATTAAAATAAATACCTCACAATGTAGCCCCAGACCTTTCCAAAATAGACCATTCCTCCCAGCAAGTGGTGATCACTCTTTTCTTGATCAAAATATCAGCAATTATCGTATTTTTTGTGTGAAGATTCAGATTTATTTTATAAAATTTCAGTTGTTTATTCTTCAGACATTCTGTTGTTTTTCTCTCCTAGAAGATAGGATATGAAAGCATGTTGTGAAAGCGAATGTTTAATAGGTGCATAAATGGCATTGTTGAAAAATCTAGGCTAATGTTTTAAAACATATTTTGTTTTACATCTAAGGTGCCAGAGAAAACAGTGGAGGATAGACCTGCCAGCAACTAGTGTGGTAATCACTTTTCATAATGAGGCACGGTCGGCTTTGCTTCGAACAGTTGTCAGGTATTTGAGAAATTTCCTGTTTTGCCTAAAACAATCAATTAAAGTGTAATATTATATAAAATAATCAATTATGTTTATTTGGCCATCTTTCTGTCTCTCTGAAAGTGTTCTCAAGAAAAGTCCACCTCATCTTATCAAAGAGATCATTTTGGTAGATGACTACAGTAATGATCGTAAGTATTTGCACAGGATTCTGTTTTTGTGGACCTGTCTTAATATATTAAATATGCACAAAAAGACTTATTGATTGTATACTAGATGTGTCATTGCGGTTTTTTCTGATTTCTGTTCTTTGGTCGCTGCCCTTAATCATCATGTGTTTGTCAAATGTTTGCTTTGTGCATAAAATAGTACATGACAACAAATAGCAATAGATAATTGATCTTGTGCTGCTTAGTGTGTCATTTTGAGGTCTATTGATAAAAATGTTTATCAGCATAAGAAGGTATTTGTTTATTGATAGAACTGGATTTTTTTTCAAATAAAAAACTCTAGAATCTAGTTCTGTTATTATTATCTAATTTAGGGCCTGTTTGCAAAGTAGATTTGACTTGACAAAGGAGTTGGGTATTAGATAGTTTAAAAACCTGGAAGGTGTAGGTGGCTTGACAAGGAACAATAACTTTTCATATTTTTGGCTGAGCTCAGATGAATAAACAATTAACTTAATGTTGCCTTTTTTTTTCCTAGCTGAAGACGGTTCTCTCTTGGGAAAAATTGAAAAAGTACGGATACTTAGAAATGATCGCAGGGAAGGTGAGCATTCTATTCAGATTGGAAAAAATCCTGAAGACGTGCATCCCAGAGAGAGTTACTTCTGTTAACAATAGCAGCAATCTACTTTTTGCTTAAAGTATTGTGTGTGGAAGATAGGAAATGTAACAAATTGCACAAAAGACGCTAACAGTCCATAACCTTTATCTGACTTCTTATTCACTTTCCAAATATACTCATTCTTGGTGGCTGAAGCCTTCTTAAACCAACACCATCCTAGGTACAAAGGCTTAAGAAGTTGAACATAGAAAGCGAGTAGTCTAATTGGTCCCATGACTGCCATAAGTTAGAGAGCTCAACAGTTGTTCTTGTTATAGTGAACTCTCTAATAAGTAGCTTTTATGAAAAAGCTATTGCCTGAATTGTTATTCTTTCTTTGAAACAAGTATACATATTAACATTGTAGGCCACAATCCTGAAGGTGCTTCTGCTTTTGTATTTCTTTCTATCAGAAGAAACAGGAAGGAATTGATTCTTCCTCTTCATCTTGCCTCCTTTGAACTACAATCTCTGGCTTGGGTTGGTAAAACTCTCCAGTGCAGCTTTTGTTTTAGCTGATAAATATGTGCAAAATGGTATAAAAAAACAGTCTACCCGACACATATAAATCATGCTATTATTTTTCAACTACGTAGTTGAAAAATTATTAAGTCTCATATTCAGATATTCCAAGAAGCATTATAAGGAAATAAAAAGATTTCATACTTCCTCTACCAGTACCTTCTAGGAGGATAGTAGTGGATGAGCTTGTTATCTGAGATTGCTTCAAGATTGGGGCTGGCAAATAGAGTTGTTTTCTGTCCATAAAAACCTACTTTAAAATGTGGTTCTGTTAATTTGGAATCCAATTTGGGTTCCATTTGTTCTGTCACTGATCTTGTGCTCCCTCCAAGCCTGCTGGTAGCTATGACACCTATTGCAGCAGCAAGAAAATAACAGGAAGGAAGTTATTCTCTTCTTATATATAAGAAAACTTGTTTGTGAGAGTTGAAATGCCTCTGCAGCAGGTTCCCAGGAATGTTGTGACTTTCCATTTAAGGCATTATTCATTTCTGGTGAGCTGATTGATAAATTGTTTTACCTTTGTAAGTGGACTAGTCTTGGACTGACTCACGTTTTAAAAAGGCTAATGTGTGATCTTGATTTCCAGGTTTGATGCGCTCTCGTGTTCGTGGGGCAGATGCAGCACAGGCTAAAGTACTGACATTCTTGGATAGTCATTGTGAATGCAATGAGCGCTGGTTGGAGCCTCTTCTGGAGAGGGTCGCTGAGGTTAGTTATGAGTGGCAGAGATTACTGGACCATAATCTGTCCTATTAGAATTCTGTGGTGCATTGAAGAACTGTAATGGCTGCAATCAATCCTAATCTAATTTCAGAAAGATACTTCCACAAAAAATCCAGTCTATTAGTTTTTCAGGTATTATCCACAATTATTTTTACTTTGTCCTAAAGAACATTTTCCACAGAAAGTGGTTGTCTTCATTTTCTGGGCCTATAATGAGAGAAGGGGTTATCTTGGCAACATAATTGTGGTATGTGGTCAGTTTTTAATTATCCTCTAAAGAAAATAATTTTCTGCCCCAGAGGCTGTAACTTGTGTCATGCATGATTTACATTTTCCCATTCCTGACACATACATACACACAGTCATGCTGTGCTTAAAGTTACCCTCTGAACACATTGAGGGTTCCAACTCCCACCAAAACCAGAACTCAAATTTCCCTCCTTTCCTCTTTGTCTCTCTTACTCCTCTTTTTATTTATTTTAAGTACAAGTACAAAACTTTATTACAGTCACTGACCAGCACAAACCGGCCCCAAGAGCTCTGGGAGGGGAAGGACAACTCCCAAGTGAAGCAGTTATTTAAAAGTAGATTAGAAGATAGTTTAAAATCACATTTTAAAACACAGGTTATTGTAACAGGTATGGAACCGAAGGGGGGGGGGAGAGATTGATTGGAGTGGTCAAAAACACTGGGAGGGGCACTAAAGGAGAATGGAAGGGCACATTGCGAGTTTAGTAGCATTTCAGCTGTAACATGTTGCTCTAACTACATTCCCAACAGGGTGTTGCCTTGTGGGGTCTCGCTTCTCGGGCTTTTGGATAAGATCAAGTGTAGTATTTATTTTGAAGATTTTTTTCTTTTTCATTGAGCTGGTGGAGTTGTTGTGTCAGCTCAGGTTTCTGATAGAAAAGCTGATTCTGTGAATTCTTCATTCTTCTTCAGGCAGTCCCTTCCAGAAAAAGGTGTAGCCTCCTTTTTCTTCCTTCATCTGTCCCTCTCCTGCTCTCCGGGTCTCCTGAAGTGCTGTTATGTTGATGTGAAAGTGTCCCAGCTCCCTTGCAATAATAGCAGTCCTGTGTTTAGGGCCCTGAACGTAAATGTAGCTGAAGCTCTTAGCAGAGACCTTGCCCAATCATATGTCTTGTCTTGAAGAGGCATTAATTTGAGTTCAGAGCATCTTGTATTCTGTTCAGCTGCAGATTGGTAGACAGTGGAGCTCCTTCAAATTCAATGGGATATCACTCTCCCTGGGTGAACTGGTTATAAGTATGGCCAAAGTGTTTTGCACTAGTGAAGTGCCTTGGTCTTCAAATTTTTTTCCACATAGAACAAATTATATTATTCTGTTTGGGAGGTTGCCAGAATGCACCATTCTGATCTGACTGCCCCTATTCAGATCTGTGTAAAGTTATGGTTAAGTAAAATCCATTTGCTTGGATTATACAGCATACTTCTCATCATATCACAAATTCATTAGCTTTCTATGCCTGCATCCTTCACAGATTGACCTTTGTTTCAATGTTTCTGCCCGCAGGACAGGACCCGAGTGGTGTCTCCTATAATTGATGTGATTAATATGGACAATTTCCAATACGTGGGGGCATCAGCTGATTTAAAAGGCGGTAAGTAGGTTTTAAATCACACCTTTGAAAAAAAATCGAGTGTGGGTTTATGATAATGAAATAGAAATTAAAGACATTGTATAAACTAATTGAGACTGAAAATACGGAGTATAACTGATGGACAGAATGCAAAAACTTAACAGAAATGACTTGAAGGCCATTTATTGTTGTTTGCCTTCAAGTCATTTCTGACTTATGATGACCTTAAGGTGAACGTATCATGGGGTTTTCTTGGTGAGATTTGTTCAGAAAGAAGTTGGCTTTTGAATGTTCAGTATTAACTGCTCTCTCTGGTTTAGAATGTAAGCATTTTTAAACCCAAACAAATCATATGATATCAGTTGAGATTATATTTCTGTGTCCCCATTTCTCTAAAAGGAGTGTTCCTATTCAGGTCTAAAGCCAAACTAAAGCCAGAACCTTGTAAACCTAGTTGGACCTTATGTATAGAAGCAAGGCAGGTGGAGGGGTGTATTAATTCACGGTGGGGGGCGGGGGAAGCAAAAATAAAGCACATATTTTCTTTTCTAGCTCCTTCCCAACTGCGCAAACAGCCACAGGTAGCAGATGAGAAGTATTCTGAAGTGTGATAGGCAACTTCTAGAGCAGTGGTTCTCAACCTGTGGGTCCCCAGGTGTTTTGGCCTACAACTCCCAGAAATCCCAGCCAGTTTACCAGCTGTTAGGATTTCTGGGAGTTGAAGGCCAAAACATCTGAGGACCCACAGGTTGAGAACCACTGTTCTAGAGGCTATATCTATAACTGTTTTCTAAAAATAAATTCTAAATCACTTCTTCCCTTTTTGGCCCCCAAGTGCTCCACAAGGACTGATTGTACCTTTGAGTGTAATTAGGATTCCACATGCACCTCAATCTGAGTTAGCCTATTCATTTTGAAACGTTCCTGTATCATTCATGGAGAGATACAGCTAGCAACTTAACATAAATTACTCAACGCATTCAGAAAATTAGTTCAATCCAGCGACAGACTTAAACTGAATTTGCTCTTTTGGGGGGAAATATAACCCCTTCCACAACAGGGTGAAATTGATTCCAGTTTCATCTGTGTCAGAAAAGTGTCTCTTTTGTGTGCATGCATCTTCAGGGATTACAATAGGCATTGCTTGTGCAAATGTGACATAAGTTTAAAAGCCAAAACTTAATAAGAACTCTGCTTCATTCTTAGGAAGGAATTAATCTCATCCTATTTGCTTTGGAAAGTAATGGTCAGGCTAAAATAACAAGAATTGTAAAGAATGTTCATGCAAAAATAATTCTTAAGTTCAAGTTTATGTAAGCTGTCTCTGAGCTGTTTCTGAAGAAAACAAAAGGCTTCCTTGCTGAGATCTATGGTAGCAAAGATTATAGGTTGGGAAACACATGCATTCTTCTGAGTATTGTCACTAGCAACCATTCCTGGATAGCCTGTTCCATGACAAAAGTTAATTTGGTGAGAACCAGCACTGCAAATTTGCTTCACTCATCTGCAGCGATTTATTTGATTAGAAAACAACTCATTTGAGGCAGCATGATCAAACAAATCACTGTGTTTGAAAGTGCCATCAGCTCATACAATATCTTTCTGCCTGTAATTACATGTAGAATCACATTTGGAATCTAATGTCGTGAGCTGACTGAAGTCAGATTTTAAATTTCAGATTTTTATAAGCAGATGGCAATGATTTGATTAATTTATGAACGATGCAAAATATAATATTACTCTGGTTGTGTCTGAGCTGCATAAATTATTTTTGTGCACATGTTAGAATTAACTTCACAGTATGTGGAAATTATGTCTGATCAAATTGGTCTGTTGTGTTCATGTTGGATTATTGTCTAATTCTTCTGAGTCCTTCAAGAGATCCTCACATTCTGTTGTTGTTCTCTGCTACGAAAGAGCCCCCTAATGTTTACTCTAGTCTAATGTATGCTAGTTTTCATTCAGTAATGCCTTGGAAGCAGTAGTAGCTTTTATTTCCTCATAGTTTGCCATGAAATACACACCTTCTGTTTTTTCCAAAAGTTGTAGGAGTGATCATGGTATTTTGCCCTCCTTTCTAATGCAGTGGAATATTATTGTATAGCATTCTTTTGAGATGAAAAATCCTCAGGGCAAAGTTGAAGCTATATTTCCTTTCTACAGCCATGAAGATCTGTTATGCAGATTTTTCTTGGGAAAATGGGGTGTACACATAATTAAAAAATTAAGAAATCTCTGTGTGCTTATGTGAAAAAAGTGGTAAAACACATTTGTTTTCTGCTGTCAAAATAATTAGAAGCCTACTATGTACATAGTAATCATGCATAGCATTTTTTAACCATCGGGCTTCATTTTCTCCTTAAATTATTTTCACACATCTAATTATTGAGACTAGTTTCCAGTGCCTTTTTGCGCAATTTAACTAGAAAAACATTAAATGGCCTTCTCACCATCTCACATAATTACAGTGCAGTCAGTACATTGTTAAGTGAACCTGAAATAAAAAAATAGGATAAACTAGATACAATCGGTATAGACTCAAAATATAGAAATATGGATTGATGAACAAGGGTGTGGCACATGGAAGATGTTTTTGAGTCCATTCCCCCAGACAGCTTGACTAGTGGGTCAGGCATGATGGGAGGTGTAATCCAGAACATCTGAGGGACATTAACTAAGCAAAGGAAGAGTTATCAGAGCTTTCCTTTATTTAAGGAGAAATCATTGTAGTACTTTAACAATCAGCAAAATAGTGATGCTGCCCTTTTATATACATAAAAGTGAACTATTGCAGCAAAGATGAGACGAGAGACTGGAATTATGTGCAGTTGGGTCTCACAGATTGTTAATTTCCCCCTTGTATCTTGCATACTGCTTCCTTCCTGTGTAATATTGCAAAAGGAAATCGATAAAGGGTAAGAGAAATTCATTATCTGACTTGTTTATGTAATATCCTACCTGTGCTTTTCTCTTCTCCATGCAATCTTTTAGGCTTTGATTGGAATCTGGTATTTAAGTGGGATTACATGACACCGGAACAGAGAAGAGCACGGCAAGGAAACCCAGTCGCTCCCATAAAGTATGTTCCTGCCATCACCCTTCCCCTCACAAAACAATGTTGTTGTTTTTAGTAAGTGCAACTTTGAGTTACCATCTCCCAAGTTATTCTTGGCAGATTGCTCTTGAATTAATTAGCCTGCGCACAATGAAACACTAAACACATAGAGAATGTTGGAGAATTCAAATCCTGTTTCTTTTATAGATGTACATAGTTATTAAAAGGCATGAAATGTTTAGCCCAGAATAGGGATAAAGGAACAGAACTATATTAGGCCTCAGCCACCTCTTGAAAGTTTTGGCTGACAGCAAGAAGTTTACACGATTTCCAATTTGTATATATCTCTAGGTGACAACATTTCTATTTTTACTGTTATCACAGAGGGGGAGTTGATCTACATTGCAGACTGGATCTAGTACCGATATGGCCTGAATTCAGATCATCTACAAACTGGAGGGCCCTAAAGATCTTGGAAAGAGACTAGTATCTGGTGCCATAATAGTGTTACATGAGCCAGTTGCTTCACATTTGCAAATTTCAAGGAATAACTACAGCTTCTAAGGACTTGTGAGATAGACTCCTCTAGTGTATCTAGTATAGTGAATGCAGATGACCAGAACATAACAAAATTGTTTTATTTGTAATACAAACAGAAATATTCAGTTTGAATTTTAATATATCTGACTATCCTGTGGTAGTAGACAATGTCGATTTCTACCTTTATCTCCTTAGAACACCAATGATCGCTGGCGGGCTTTTTGTGATGGATAAGCTTTACTTCGAAGAACTGGGAAAATACGATATGATGATGGATGTATGGGGTGGAGAAAATCTAGGTATGATTCTTTCTGAGAATTATTTTTGAAGAAAAGTAAATTGGAACGGTAACCTAATTTTTTGAGTTCATGGCCTTTAGATCTCTGTCTGGACTGGATTAAAATGATAGTTAATACTTTAAGTGGATTATTGGCAAAGAGTCAACCACAGCAGGTCTCTATTCTAAAACCAGAGCTTTGTTGGGGGGAAAAACCTGAATGGGGAGATTATGACTTAAAGTTGTAGATAACTTCAAAATTCATTCTTTTTAACTAATTAAATATTACTGCCAAAGTGTCTCATTCAAGAGGGTTTTGAAATGCTTAAAGAAAGGCACATAGCTCATAGACCTAATCATCTTGTGCATATATTTTAAGAAATCTATTAGAAGGTAGTTACCTGAGGGCTGAACTAATTAATTTTGATTATCAGCCCTAGTAGATACTTGGCACCTTGGTTCAAGATGGATTGTGATTTTATATATCTTATTATCACTTATAAGATCATTCCTTTTATGCTGACACTTTCATTATTGGTCCTTATTTCCAGATGTTCACATAAGAGCCAAGTAATTACATACATCTATAAAATCATGGTTAGCTATTAAACATTTAAGCTTTTTAGTCATTTGAATCACAAGGTCTTGTTCTTTCTGAAAGAACATAACTATATAGATGGCATAAGGTTCTCGGGGTTTTTCTTTTTTTCTTTTAAAAAAAAGGCAGACAGAATTGAGGCTTGTTCTGAACTTTTCTTTATTGGAGACAGTGAAATCCAGTAACCTTTCTCGATATTGCTTTTAAGAGTATTATGTAATTAGAGACCAAAAAGCTTCATATGAGGCTGGGGAGGAGAAAGGGGAAATGACTGAATGTTGTGTTCTTCTTGTGTATGATTTTATTACTTTTCCCCTGATGACAGAGATTTCATTCCGTGTGTGGCAATGTGGTGGAAGCCTTGAAATAATCCCATGTAGCAGGGTTGGCCATGTGTTTCGCAAGCAACATCCTTATACCTTCCCAGGAGGAAGCGGTACTGTTTTTGCAAGGTAATTTGGCTTCAAATTAAGTTGTGAAAGCTAAGATTCAGTCCTTACCCAAAGAAATGCCAAGTGGCACTCAAGTGCATTGAAACCTTTTCAGATCATGTAACTGTGATTCTTTATTTATATGCAATGCTTCTATCAGTATAGAATGCAGGGTAAGCTAAAAATCAATAATAAAAAGTTAAAATGCAATTAAACAACCGTAACACCATTAAATTTCTTAAAAAATCATTTTAAAAACTCAGTAATACAAGTTAAAAATTCAGCACAAATAAAGAGCTGCATGGGAAAGGGCCTGACTAAGGGTGCATCCAGACAGCCCCTTTAAAGCAGGAGTTCATGGAGTTTAAAGTAGGCCATCCAGATGACGTCCCATAGAATTCAATTGCCCCAAACCAGGAAAACCCTGGTTTGTCATGAATTAATTTGTTAGTGGGTTTATTCCGTGCCTTCTTGGAAGGTGCGAGATAAACACACTACTTCTGCTGTCTGGACTGCTCCCTCAAAAATTCTGGACTTTTGAGGGGGCAATCCAGACAGTAGCCCCGCATTCTTCTGGGCTAAATTAGCTCAGGAAACAGCAAGGACACCAACTCCCAAAACCCCATTAAAAAAAGAGAACTTATCCAACCTCCATTAGTGTGGTGCTGGAGCTCTCCTGGCACATAGGAATTACATGCTAGGAGAAAGTGTGTGTGTGGGGGGGGGATTGCTCCCCCCCCCGGCTTTTCCTGGCATGTCATTCCTACATGCCAGGAGAGTTTCAACACCACACTAATGGAGGCCGGGTAAGTTCTTTGATTTTTCAAAGGGGTTTTGGAGAGTGGGTTAGGGTGTCCAGATGTTCTCCTAGAAAGCTCCAGGAGTGCATCTGGACACTCACCCCAGAGAGCATGTGCTTTCTGGGGGCGTGTGTAGCTTAGGTTCCCGGGTTAAAGGTTTGTCTAGATGTGCCCTAAGCAATAGTACAGCAAGCCAGCCTTTGCTCTTCTCTCTTCCTCTCTGTCCTTACTTTCCAGCTGACAACATTTCAGGCTTGCATCAGAAACACTTCAGTCTTAGAGAATTCAAGTTGAACAGCTATGTTGGTTTAAATTTGCATTGAATCATTCCAATAAACATATTATATTAGAAGTATGTGCATTTACTTATTTCTGCCTTCTCCAAATTTTAAGATCCTTGATAAGCAACGTAAACATTTGATGTACTTTAGGATTTTAATTCATGAGTTAATAAACCTAACCATATTAAACATAAAACATAGAATGGCATTTGAACAGAAACAAAAAAGTAAACATTGATAATACAATAACATTTATATTAAAACCCACTTGTTAAACAACACAATTTAAAAACAGTTATTAAAATTACGCCATGCAAAATCAAAATTAATAAAGAAAGGTTGGGAAAGACTTTCCTAAGGATTCTGTGGTGACCAGAAATACATTTTCACAATTAAAACTAGTGTATCAGCTGTTACCAGTTGTAGGAGGGGGGGGGGGGTTATTTTGGTGTGGAAAAAAAAATACTCCAGGGGTCGCAAAAATGACCTTGATGGCACTTATGACCTGTGCTGAAAAGAATAAGTGCACTAATAAATTCCGTGTTTTGAAATGCTTCTAGAAATACACGTAGAGCAGCAGAAGTCTGGATGGATGAATACAAAAACTTCTATTATGCAGCAGTGCCTTCAGCCAGAAATGTACCTTATGGCAAGTAAGTAATTGATTTTGCATTGCTTAATACATTTTTAGGCCACTTGATTTTGGAAATGATATTTAAAAGATAATCTATTAATTCTTAACCAACTCTCCTAAAGCTCTTCTTTTAAATAGTTAAGATACTTTAAACTATAGAAATAACAGTACATCAGTGATTCCCAACCTGTGATCTGTGGACCACCAGTGGTCCACAAGAACGAAAATATGGTTGTGGTCTCACCATTACTACACAATTGCCTCGAAACCACACAGCAATGAGAGTGACTGATCTCGCAAAACCCTCTTATAGTGCCGAGGCAACAGGGAAGTCGGGAGGGGAGAGGTTGACTACCCACAAAAGATTACTACTACCACATCATCTCTAGATTATTAAATATGATTTACTGTGGGCGAGCAGATGGCAACTACTCGGTGGCATATGTTCTTTATCAGAAACTAGAGCTGATGTGGCCTGTCCGATGCAGTTTTCTGAGTCAGCATCCCAAATAACCAAACCGAATCTAAAGTTGACCAAAAACTGATTCATAACCTATTTGGTGCTAATGTTGGAGATTGTTCCCTGGTCAAAAAAAGGTTGGGAACCACTGAGTACAGAGATTATTATGTTTATTTATACTCCTCTTTTTATCTCCACAAGGAGACTCAAAGTGACTTACATTAAAAGCCATTTCAATACAATAATGGATTGTGTCAGTTTTCAAAGATAGCTGTTTAAAAAACCAAATAAATGATGTTTTTCTTCTCTCACTAGTATTCAAAGCCGATTGGAGTTGAAAAAGAGACTTAACTGCAGACCATTCAAGTGGTATCTTGAAAATGTGTACCCTGAGTTAAGGTGTGTACCGTGCTGTGTGTTCAGGTTAAGATCTTTAACCCACGTGAGGTTTGGAAACTTGCATTTATTTCTCCTTGTCATTTGAGACTACAATGGGCCCTTGATATCTGCCAGGATTTGGTTCCAGGGCACTGCGTGGATACCAAAATCCATGAATACTAAATCCCCATTATATATACAGGTGTAGTAAGATGTGTCCCTTATAAAGTGGCAAAATCAAGGTTTGATTTAGGGATTTTAAACATATGTTTTAAATCTGTGGTTGGTTGAATCTGTGGATGAGAACCAAATGAATTTTATTGTGACTTTTTCCAGTATACTCTTAAGATGTCTAATACTTGGTATGTGCAACAAGTGTACAGCGCTGTTGCTTAGGGTAAGCTACTTATTTCATATCAATGCCAAGTAGAAGTGGTGGCCAAAAATATCAAATGGAGTTGTGAAAAAGTTGCATAGTAAAGTTTAGTTAATTGCCAGGATAAGATTAGATGTTTGGGAGTATAGCAGGTAGACATTTCTTTACTTTTGGCCAAGCCTAGCCATTTCAGTGACTAATCTGATTCTAACTGGCAGTCAGAAATGCTGATATTTTGTATTCTCATTCAAGAGGATTATATATTTATATATATATATATATATATAGAGAGAGAGAGAGAGAGAGAGAGAGAGAGAGAGGGAGAGAGAGAGAGAGAGAGAGAGAGACTGAGACTCATACATTGGTTGTGGTTTACGCCATTGATTTCTAATTCAACATTAAACCAACTGGAATATTTTTCCTTACTATATTCAGTTGCTTCTATAAAAATAGCACTTGAATTTAACACACAGACTTAACTAATATAGAAGAACTATTACTATACAATGACTAAAGTAAATAAGATCCTTATTTCACTGTAGATTTAACAGGTTGATGAAACGAAATTAAGGAATGGCTCAGTAATATTTAAGCTACAGCGGGAATGCATCCTGAGCTGGCATGGTATAGAAAGACCTTTTTCTCTTCCTAGACAGGATGACTTTTCCTTATGAAGGGATGTTCTCCCGGTCAGAAAGTCTGTTTGGGTCAATGCAGTCAATGATGGATGAAGCTGATAGTGGATGGGGCTTGCCTTGCTCTTTATTTCTCCCATCTATTTCCATGCATGGAAGTAATTCAAAAGACATGGTAGTGAACTGAGTGACATGAGGGGCTGCATGAATGTAGGCTGTACATACAGGTAGAGAAAAAAAATACCTTAATCAGACCAACATACCGTCACACTTTTAAATTTGTCAATATCTTGTTCTATATACAAGATATTGACAAGCCTAGATTTCTTTTAGTTCAATCTAAATGTATGTTAAGGGGAGAAGGTGGGAATTATATAAGAAAAATATGTATGCTGTAAACCAGTGAGCTGCTGAGCTTGCTGTTTGAAAAGTCGGCAGTTCGAAACCAGGGAGCGGAGTGAGCTCCCGCTGTTAACCCCAGCTTCTGCCAACCTAACAGTTCGAAAACATGCAAATGTGAGTAGATCATTAGATACCACTTCAGCGGGAAGGTAATGACACTCCATGCAGTCATGCTGGCCACATGACCTTGGAGGTGTCTACAGACAACGCCGGCTCTTCAGCTTAGAAATGGAGATGAGCACCACCCCCAGAGTCGGACACGACTAGACTTAATGTCAAGGGAAACCTTTACCTTTACTTTATCTGAATTGCTATCAGGGTAGAGTGAGTTTTCAATTTTGACATTTGTTGACATGACATTAGAATTAAAAAGTTTATTGTTTTGTTCTTTGGTTTTGTTTTTCAGGGTACCTGATCACCAAGATATAGCTTTTGGGGCCTTGCAGCAAGGAACTAATTGCCTTGACACTTTAGGCCATTTTGCAGATGGCGTTGTTGGCGTCTATGAATGTCATAATGCTGGGGGCAACCAGGTCAGTATAGCAATTAGTTGTATGTAAATGGCTGTGAGAAATCAACATGATTTCTAATTCTTTACTGTACCTTAGTGAAAATAAATGTCTTGGTACAGACTTCTTTATTTTTCAGGGGATTTTGTCTACTTTCTACGATTTGCCAAATCAGGAATTTTTTAAGAGTCTGTTCTGGGATACAGTGATTGCCATTGATATCTGCAAATGTCCCAGCAGTCTGTAATAATTCATTTATTACTGATCATATAACGTGTCCTATCAGTTAGTGGCCATTTTGTAATGAAAGCCCCTTTGAACTAACAGAGGCTTCTGTAAGCCACATCCCAAGTAACACTTTCCCAAAGAGTCTCTAGTTCTGTGAAAGTGTAATGACTGCACACAGAGAGAATGGGAGTCATCTCAGATCCTTTGGTGGAAGACTCTGCTGCATCAAAGAACCAGTTTATTAGCAGAAGGGAAAATCAATTGGATGCACTCCAAAGACTATTAATCTTAGCATACAGATTTTGGAAGTGGTGTACAATATTGCTTAATGTTATTAAGACATGACATGCAATTTTGGAGAATTTTGTTGCTAGAAACATATTGTCTGTGTGCACCTTTGTGGGAGAGAACCTGGAATTTCAGCAGATTTCCATTGCCAGCTTCTGAATGTTAAGATTAATTAAGCCACAGGAAATGATTTCATAATCTATTTGAGATAAGAAGGGCAAATAGTGCATTTTAAAGAGCTTACCTAGCTCGAGTTTCTAATTCATATTTTCTTGGTACAGTGTTGCTCTGTTAGTGTACAGGCAATCCCCGAGTTATGAACCCCTGACTTATCTATGACTCCTACTTACAAATAGGCCTCTCCCCTCCCTTCCTCCCCGCCATGAAAGTTCTGAGTCAAAGCCCTTTCCTTTTTCTTCGTATCAGTAGCTCTCCAAGCCCTTTCCTCTTTCTTCCTACAGATATTTCTCCAACCACCCCCCTTTCCTTTTTCTTTGTATCATGTATCACTCCACCCCTCCTCTAGTTTCCTTCATATATGATACCACTTTAAATGCCATGGCTAAATGATTTGCAACACTGGGATTTGTAGTTTGGTGAGGCAGCAGCATTCTTTGGCAGAGAAGACTAAAGACCTTGTAAAACTACATTCCCCTGGATTCCATATCATTGACCCAGGGCAGTTAAAGTGGTGTCAAGCTGCATTCATTCCACAGCAGCTGAAGCAGGATAAACAGGAGAGGCTCCTTGAGAGAAGGGTTACCTGTTCCTCGGGTTTTCTTTTCCATTGCTGGAAACTTTGGTATTCTCACACTTCTGTTTTTAAAGAAGGAATTCTAACCAAGGAAGCAACTGTATTGCACAGCTTTTTTGGCCAAGTTACAAAGCGTCCACTTTTTGTCACTGTGGTTTTTCCCTTGCACAACAACCAGCAGTGCATGCTGGGCTTGTTCCAACTTACGTACAAATTCAATTTAAGAACAGACTTACAGAACCTATCTTGTATGTAACCTGGGGATTGCCTGTATAGTGATTATCATTTCTCAGTGAGTTATCATAGGGCTTTTTTGGTGACACAGCATATGAACATGATCTAGCTAAGCAAAAACCAATGAGATTTCTGATGTGAATAATGAAACACAAATTCCACAGCTGAGAGGGAAAATATTTTCAGATTGAATATTATGGATTCTGGTATATAATAGTCTGCAAGTAACACAGTGTTAAAATAGCCATGTTTGTCTGTACAATTTTCATTTGTAGCAGAAGTGCTGGGGAATGCTTAAATTCAATTATGTCCCAGTTAAAGTAGATCAACTGAATCAATGTAATTTGCATAAGTGTTGACATAGCATGTTCCCATTTGTTTGGAGGGTTTACTCTATTTGAGGATTAATTGGATTTAGGACAGTTTGTCCCTGTATTTTAGAATCCAATATGACTCATAAAAGAAGCTGAACCTCTAGTTGGCTTTTCTAAGCGCTACAGTGATTTTTAGGCATCACAAATGTATCAAATGTTTATTGCACTTTCTCTGTTAGCATTTTGTCTCCCTCGTTTTGCATCTTTAAAATATGTTACCGAAGAACGTATTTTGCAGGCATGGGAAATGCTCTTTTGAAAGTGTGGCTATTTTTGTTTCCAAATTTTCATTGGCTGGAAAAAAGGAATGTGGGCCATTGAGTTTCTTTAAAAACGTTTTGGAAATATTAAGCAATCTCAAATGTATTGTCTATAATTAAGGCTCCAAAAGTGATACTTTGCCATAGCATTGGAAAGTTGCCCAGCTAAAACTGATGAATGGTTATTTTAGGGAGCATGTAGTTAATCAAATGCAATTATGCCGACCTATTTATTACTGTGGCATTCAGAGTACAATGAAATGCTGAAAAATGAGTTTAGCTGTACTCATTGTTGGAACAAAAGGCTTGACTTGGAAAGAGAAGATTATAATGGGAAGGGTGTATCAGTGAAATGAAATGAAATCATTTCCATGTACTTCTTTATACATTGGCTAGTATAGTTTTCAATTTGTTAGGCTTCATGTAATTGCCACTGTCACTAACAGGATTCTTTACATAACGTAATTAGCTGTGTCACATATGGGATTTCTTTGGCCTCTTCTCATTCACAATACAATCAGATTCCATGTGGTGACACCTACCATATGTAGATAGAAAAAGCATGTCTATATATTTGGAATCATGCAAATTGAATCTTTTGGATACAGCTGATAGTAATATATCAGTAACATTTGGGTAAAAAGTAATACCTCAGTTAGGACCCTTCCACACAGTCATAATAGTCCAGAATATCAAGGCAGAAAATCCCACAATATCTGCTTTGTACTGGGTTATCTGAGTCCACACTCCCATATATTCCAGTTCAAAGCAGAAAATGTGGGATGTTATTCAGCTGTGTGGAAGGGGCCTTAGACAGGAATCATACTGAAAGTAAATCAAATTTGACATAGTCATAGGAAACAATAGGAAAAAAGTCATGATATTGCTATTATCCGATGTAAGGAAGTGCTGCATCATGATAAGGCAGAAATGGGATAAGACTCCCAGAGGGAATCGTGAATCAGCAATGGCTTGATCTATGTCCCTAATACCATATATTACAGGTTTTGCAAGAAGGACGGGTATAAAATGCCAAAGGCAGACCAAAAGTTGTCTCCTTATCTGTTCTGTCCCTTAGTTTATTATGGGTGTAGCAAAATGTGAACAGATCTAAACTGGATTTTTAAAAAATCATTAGGGTTTATATTTTCCTGTGATGCTTTCTGAAAGCTGGTTTGAGTTGGTTAGATGTTGTTGTGCTGTAGAACCAGCAGAGGGTAGTATTGGACAATGTTAAAACAGTTGTAGCACCAAAGTATCTGGGGAAAAATCCAAGTTAACATTGAGCTCGAAAAGGATTGCCCCAAATCTCTGTGATAAATTAGTCAAATTAGTCAAATGTTTCTTTCTGTGTAGAAAGTACAAGAAATACCAGTAGCTTTCATTGTGACTCAGATATTTGTTTCTAAAAATGTTTCTATTTGTGTGGCTTTTCCGGTATAGCATTCAGGAAAATGAAAATGAAAACTAAGGAATGTTTTGAAGCATTGTACCATATAAATGTAATTGTGAATTGTTTCTGTATTTCAGGAATGGGCCTTAACAAAGGACAAGTCGGTGAAACACATGGATTTGTGCCTTACTGTTGTAGACCGAGCTCCTGGCTCACTCATAAAACTTCAGGGCTGTAGAGAAAACGATGGTAGACAGGTCAGTATCCGGGTATAAGTGTAGTTAAAATTTCCTTTAGATGTTTATTCTTTCCAGACGCTGGGTACACTCAGCTGTAGCCAGACTAGACCATAGACATTGATAGCACAAGGTTTCCCATAAATACATTTTGAAAAAGGGGGGTCTCTTTGCCTTGCAAATTGGCTCATTTACTTTCTTACAATCCCATTAGGATCAGTGAGGAGTGGGTGAGCCAGAAACACATAAATCCAATGACAGTTTCATTTGATCAGTTTCCCTTTTACATGGAGCAGTGGGTTAAACCCCTGTGCTGGCAGGACTGAAGACTTAACAGGTCGCAGGTTCAAATCCGGGGAGAGCGCAGATGAGCTCCCTCTATCAGCTCCAGCTCCTCATGCAGGGACATGAGAGAAGCCTCCCACAAGGATGGTAAAAACATCAAAAACATCCGGGCGTCCCCTGGGCAATGTCCTTGCAGACTGCCAATTCTCTCACACCAGAAGCGACTTGCAGTTTCTCAAGTTGCTCCTGACACGACCAAAAACATCAAAAAACAAAACATTTTTTAAAATAACTGTTACCCCAAAGCTGGGTGCAAGTCTAGTCACCTTCTCCTACTCAACATCCTGCAGACCTTTGACAAATTTTTATGTACATACACCTTTAATAGATTATATCTTGTGATGTTTTGGAAAAAGAGGGAACATTATCCTGAGGATAAGAGCTGATCAGCAATGGAATGTGCTGCCTCGGAGCGTGGTGCAGTCTATCTGCTCTAGAGATTTTCCTTCATAGCAGGGGATGAACTGGATGGCCCTTGTGCCCTCCTCCAGCTCTAGGATTCTGCGATTCTTTCTGAATCCACCGAGAAACTAGAAACCCCAGCTACATAGATTGCTACATTTGCAATTTAATCTCTGGCTTTCACATTCCTCCTGCCTTCCAGTTCTTACCATATATTAGTCATTTCCTTCATTTACTCAGTAGTAATCTCAAGGTAACATGCTTTCACAAGCGTTATAAAATTATTTAAAACTTTACACCATCATTCTAAATACAAAGTGCTGGTCATTACCTTTAAAGCTTTTAAACGGTTCGGGCCCAGACTATCTTAACAAACCGTATCTCCTTGTACAAGCCTGTCTGGGCCCTTGATAGGCTGAAGAGGCCCTGCTCTCAGTCCCACCCCTGTCCCCAAGCACAGCTGGTGGCAACAAGAGAAGGGGCCTTCTTGGTGCTTGCTCCCCGCCTGTGGGATGTCCTTCCCAAGGTGATCAAAATGGTGCCCTCCTTACTCTTCTTTAAGAAACAACTTAAAACTTTTTTATGCTCTCCAGCATATAAGGAGGAGGAGGAGGGATAAATCCCAGAGCACAGATTAACCAGAATGGAAATGGAACTGATATGACACGCTACCTTGGCTGACTTTTAATGGTTATTATTTAACATAATTGCTTTATTTTAATTTAGTGTATAATGTTTAGTATTATTCTTTATTTAATTTTTTATAGTTTTCATTTTATATAGGCATTGAATGTTTGCTTGTTGTGTTGGAAACCGTCCTGAGTCCCCATGGGAAGATAGGGTGGGATGTAAATAAAAGTTTATTTACCCTCCTCCTTCATGATTCCAGTCCAGTTTCAACTTTGTTCCTGCTATACTCTCAAGCTTCCTAGTAAGGATGGCTCTGGAATCCATTCCTCCCCACTACTCTTCCCATTGTATCTTCATATAAAGTGGTGAAGTGTTTGAAGTTTTGTTATTCCAGGAGATTGTATTAGAGATCCTAGTATGTCTTAAGAGAAGTATGAGAAAGTGCATGCACAGTGGCTTGGAGAGGAAGGGATGGGCTTTATCTCTGACATATCGGCACATCACTTTGAATGTCAGTTTATTTGCAGGCATCACATTATTCATTATCTTTCAAAATCTCAGGGCTTGAACCTTTTAAAAATACAACATGGAGCCTCCAGGAGTGACTACTGTAATGCTAGAGAGAACATTGGTAGTAGAGTAGGAAAAATGTTTCTTTTATCCTATTTTATTGAATCTGAATAACCTTTGGCTTTCTTTTTATCTCCTAGAAATGGGAACAAATTGAAAGCAATGCCAAACTGAGGCACGTGGGCAGTAACCTGTGTTTAGACAGCCGAAATGCCAAAAATGGTGGCCTGACTGTTGAAGTTTGCAATCCTTCGCTATCACAGCAGTGGAAATTCACACTTAATCTACAGCAGTAGAAGGGCTTGCACAGAAATACTGTCTCATTTCCTAAACCTTGGGCAACATTTTGATTGCATTACTGATAACTTTATATACCTCAGTATTCCATCTTTGTCTGAAAGCAAAGTGAACAAAAGGGAAGCAAGTGAACTGGGGACCCTGCCATTGTCTGACCAGATGTAGCTGCAGCACAGCTCTCTCACTCCCTTCCACCACAAAGGCTGACCAGTTCCTTTCCAGCTTCAAGCTAGTACTTACACAGCAGATGGTTAATATCCCTAGGAACCACAGGTGTACAGTAGGAAACTGCTTTCCACACACACAGAAAGGGAGGGAGGGGAGGGAATCATTGGGAGGGAAGTAAATTGCTTGGAGAAGATCATTGGCAGTCTCCATTTTACATAGAAATCGGTGTTTGTGGTTTCCAGAAATCAAAGAATCATTTTGAAGGTTTTACCATGTGTACTTTGTATATTTGACCATGGACTTTTCTATGACAGGACTCTAAACATAAACATTATATATAAATATATATATATTGTCAAACTTTACAACTTTTTATCAATTTTTCCATCATCCTGTAATTTATCAACAAAGCATTTTAACGCTTTACCGAAAAGTGGATGGGACATGTTGTAATTGAGGAACAAAGCTCTGTGAAGACGCAGGTCTGTGCTGCTGAGTTGAGTTCATGCAAACACTGGATGCTTTTGCTTTGTAAAGTATGCCTACTCTGTGCTTCGTCCTCCTGGGAAACACCAGGCCTCTGTAGAAGGGGCGATTGAATGGCCGAAAGGGGCTTGCACGCTTCATCTCACCAGCATTGTCACCTCCAGTTGAGGAATTCATGCCATGTGCTCTGGGTCTCTGTAAACTTGGTCTTTGTGTTGGACAATTCTAGACTACTTTTGTCTTACAGGAATAGTTTGCTCTTTAAACAAAAATACAGGAATAATGCAGCTGTGAGGGTTTAGTCCTTAGATGGTATTCACAGTATGATTTTCTTTTCTCCTTTCTTTGCCTCTTAAAATGTCGTCAGAATGACAGATAGCACAAGACCACAGTAGCCTTCTTGTGGAAGCATGAGCAGCTAGCTACTAAAGATCAGCCTTGAAGCTGTTAATGCACCTGCTCTTGGTTTTATCGTGATTTAGGGTTTCTCTTTTGTCTGTCTCCTAACTAGTGCTTCAGAATGGGCTGTAGGACTGCAGCGTGGGCGCAAGTAGTACATTGAAAGCAGTCATTTCAGTCCAGTGCTATTTTTATATCAAAATAATGTCAGAGGTGGCTGCCACTTTTGACTGTTTTCTTTCCACCCCTCTGGCTAGGCCTAGGCTTCTGAAAAAGTCTTTATGTAAGATTTTAAAATAGAAAATGAAAGTAGTCTCCCTAAGATGCCCTCTGGTGATTACAAAAGGACAAAGACAAATGATTATGCAATCATGTCTTGACAGTATTCTCCTTGGACTGTGTGCGTCTGAGAGTATCTCGGATAAGCTGCATTTTCCCTGACAGCTGCAGTGTTTGCAACATAAACATGAGCATCTCTCCATGCAAATAAAGACTTGAAATGTTAGTCCCCTGTCTCAAATAGGCAGGTATACATTTGGATTTATATGGCATGCTTGTGATCTCTGCAGGTACAGTTTTGAGATGTTGTATGAACATAAAATGGTTTGGCCCTCTAGCACTTTTTCCTTTGGGCGAAGAGTGTGAAATGTATCTTCCTTCCTCTCAAATTTTCATCTCCGTATTGAAAACTCACGTATATTCTGCTCAAATATGATCTTGACAGCAGAAAAAAGAAACTATTTTTCTTCTTTAGCATCTCAAGACTTGAGATGAAGATGACAATTGAAGTGAAATGAAGTCATTACTTTGAGGGGGGAATTGGAACTGGACTTTTAGCTAGACAACAAAATATATAATCCAATGCTTCTGGGAGAAAAATCAAGCTATATGTGATTCAGAAGCCTGACAGTCATACCAGCTGTTGTTTGCTGGAGTTCTAGAAGTTGGTACCGTACCAGATTCATTAGTAAATTTTGTAACATCTCCCTATTCCAGAAGAGTTTTAATGCCAGCTGTGTTTTGTAAATGGGAAAAGTTTTTTCCCCAGGTTCTAGAGATGTTAGACAGAAATGATCTCCATCTTGAGACTGTACGCTGTAGTTGGTATTGTTGGGTGGTCCCTTGGTCAGAACACAAACAGTGATATGATGTTAGCTATGTTTACATGACACAGTGTGCCAAAGTTATTTACTGTGATTTTGTTCTTTACAAATAAAAAGTGTATGGATTTCAGGTGCAGGGCACCAAGACTGTCACACACAACCTCTGAGCAGTGGGGTATCCTAAGGAGTCCTGTTCAGAAACCTTTGAAGTGAAGTGAGGGTATGAAATGGCAGCCAATGGTGGAGAATAACTTTAGACGTTTAAAATAGCCAAATACTTTCCTCTCCCCTCCCCTTCCCCCAAATAAATTGCAATGCAATGTCGTCTTTGTTCTAACCTTAGCTTTTTCAAAGCAAAAATGATGGTGGTACATGTGAATTTCATTTTGCAAATTAAATACAGTTTGGGAACTGTTGTTTCAGTTGGTTCTTTAAAATCTGCTGTACAAAGCTTGTATTTTGTTCATTTTATAGATGGAAACCATCCTTGAAAAAAACCTGTTTGTTTAACTTAAGAAAATAAATACTTTATAGATAAGATGGCACGGTTTTCTGTGATTCTGGTGTGTGTGTGTGTGTACTGTACACTTCAGACCTGAAATCTCAATACATGCATTTCAGTTTTTGATTTGTTCTACCAGCCTACTTGTATGTAGTAAAGGTAATAATTTCCCCTTAACATTAAGTCTAGTCATGCCTGACTCTGGGTGGTGCTGCTCATCTCCATTTCTAAGCCGAAGAGCTGGCGTTGTCCGTAGACACCTCCAAAGTCATGTGGCCAGGATGACTGCACAGAGCACATCTATACATCTGAGCTTTTATGTAACACATCTATAAATCAGCATTTTGGTGTTATTTTGCAATTAAACTCCAAATGTCTATATGAGTTTGGATGCTCTAGGAACTGTAATCTCAAATAGTAAACTGCCAAGCTCTAATGTGTTCTCTGTTTTAGTCTTGCTGAAAGGGTTGGATGCATGTAGTTTGGGGTTTTTTTGGAGGGGGGTGCTGGGTTTATTTTTGTTCATTTTTTTAACTTTGAATTGCAATCTGTTTACTATAATCACAGATTTGTTATTTTTGGCAAGTGGGTACTTTGTAAAAAGCACAGGGATACTTTAAGGAGGATAGATGCTTTTGAACTGTGGTGCTGGAGGAAAGTTCTGAGAGTGTCTTGGACAGCGAGAAGATCCAACCAGTCCATACTTCCAAGAAATAAAGCCCGACTGCTCATTGGAGGGAAGGATAGTAGAGGCCAATATGAAGTACTTTGGCCACATTATGAGAAGAAAGGAAAGTCTAGAGAAGACGATGCTGGGGAAAATGGAAGGATAAAGGAAGAGGGGCCGACCAAGGGCAAGATGGATGGATGGTATCCTTGAAGTGACTGGATTGACCTTGAAGGAGCTGTGGGTGGTGACGATCGACAGTGAGCTCTGGCATGGACTGGTTCATGAAGTCACAAAGAATCGGAAACGACTGAACGAATGAACAACAGTTTAATCAAGGGAAGGCTATGCATTCTATGACAGAAAAAAGAGAAAATGGCAGGGAAGGCAGTCCCAGCCATTTCACACATTTTGCTTCTTCTTGAAGTATGGACTATTCTGCTTTGGTTAGACCACATCTGGAATATTGTGTCCAATTCTGGGCACCACAATTCAAGAGAGATATTGACAAGCTGGAATGTGTCCAGAGGAGGGCGACTAAAAAGATCAAGGGTCTGGAGAACAAGCCCTATGAGGAGCGGCTTAGGGAACTGGGCATGTTTAGCCTGAAGAAGAGAAGGCTGAGAGGAGATATGATAGCCATGTATAAATATGTGAGAGGAAGCCACAGGGAGGAGGGAGCAAGCTTGTTTTCTGCTTCCTTGGAGACTAGGACGCGGAAAAATGGCTTCAAACTACAAGAGAGGAGATTCCATCTGAACATTAGGAAGAACTTCCTGACTGTGAGAGCCGTTCAGCAGTGGAACTCTCTGCCCCGGAGTGTGGTGGAGGCTCCTTCTTTGGAAGCTTTTAAACAGAGGCTGGATGGCCATCTGTCAGGGGTGATTTGAATGCAATATTCCTGCTTCTTGGCAGGGGGTTGGACTGGATGGCCCATGAGGTCTCTTCCAACTCTTTGATTCTATGATTCTATGATTCTGCTATGCAAGAAACTTCAGGTCTTTGAAACTCATCTATTTAGGTCTCTCCCAGTCCATCAGTCCGTCTGTCCCCCCCTCCCCCCTTCCAAAGCAACCAGTCTTCCAGAAATAAACAGACCTTATGATTATCTTCCATTCAGGTATTTTTTATTTATCATGTCAGGAGCAACCAGACATTTGTATTACATTTTTAACAAAACAAACAGACAAAAACACAAAGTTTGCAAGCTTGGTAGTTGATTAAATGTCCTTTGGCCAGTATCTGGCCATTTGGAGTGCCTCTAGTGTTGCCGCAAGGAGGTTCTCCATTGTGCATGTAGCAGGGCTCAGGTTGCATTGCAGCAGGTGGTCAGTGGTTTGCTCTTCTCCACACCCGCATGTCGTGGATTCCACTTTGTAGCCCCATTTCTTAAGATTGGTTCTGCATCTCGTGGTGCCAGAATGCAGTCTGTTCAGCGCCTTCCGAGTCGCCCAGTCTCCTGTGTGCCCAGGGGGGAGTCTCTCATTTGGTATCAGCCATTGATTGAGGTTCTGGGTTTGAGCCTGCCGCTTTTGGACTCTCACTTGCTGGGGTGTTCCAGCGAGTGTCTCTGTAGATCTTGCCATTACCATTCAGATAATGCCCCCTTTTTAAAAAAAATTACAAGAGTTCATCTTGGGCTTCTACTTTCACCTTACAAAGCATTTCAAATTGGACAGATTTGCCTCCAATACGGTCGCTTTTTGCAGATGAGTGTTCTAACAGGTGCTGTCAGATTGATTTGTCCAAGAGATTTCCTTGCCACTTTTTGTCTCGGGCTTCAATTCAAATAGGTTTATTCTCTTGGGATCTTTTTCTCCCTTAGCTGAGAATAGCACATTCGTCAAATGTAGCTAAGGAAAAGGAAACATCCAGCCTCACCCTATTTGTAATAAGACTAATTTTCCTTTCCGAGGGATCTTTTCTGTCCTCTCTTTTCCTTTTTGGATTGGTTGGAAAGGAACTGGGGACGACCTAAGTATATTTTTCTAAAATAACACATGATCCTGTGTCTTGCCTGTGCAGTGGCTGAAATTAGCTCTTTGTTGGATTGTGTCATCTCCTTGGCTAGAATTACCTTTACAGTAATTTCCCAATGTGCCATTCTGCTCAAATAACTTGTAGTAGTATATCCATTTTTTTCACAGAAACCGGAAATTAAAATGTTAGGCGCATAAATTACAAAGCTTTGCTCTCTTGAGAAACTGTGGGGTTGTGTGATGGATGTTTGTTCTTTAAGCCTATCTGTAGACTGTGGCTCGTATACTTACAGTTCATCGTTTGCATATGGAAATAAATTAAACATTCTTCTGAGGATTAATTTACTAGAGGGTAAGGTGAAGGAATTGTGTGCTACACAAACTCTGACCTGAAAATATTGCAATGAACAGGAAGAACATTTTTATCTTTGGTTAATTTCCTAAAGTGTATTCATACATTTTCACTGTTGGATGAAATCCATTGTCATCAAATAGCACAATAAATAGGGGACAGTAAATACATATGGATGAAGCTACTTTGGTATTCTCCAAAGATCCATCTTTTAAAATGTTCAATTTTAGTAAATAATAACCTCTTTATTTAATCCAGTTTCCCTTCAAAGATGCAGATGATCTGTTGTGTGTGTATTCTGTAATTCTTATTTCTAGTTTTTAATTCCTGCAATTCTCAGCTGTTTGCTACTTTGGACAAACACTGATGAACAACTTATGTTAAGAGTTCATCAATTTGCATCAATAGTTTGGCACCATCTGCTCTTCCACACTTTTTCATTATTTAAACAAGCCATTGGTGCTTTCTCTGCATTTCTAGCATGGATGTCAAAAGATTTTCACTTTGCTGTGCAATGCTTAATGCCAACAACTTTCTGGCTTGAGGTTTAACATTAAGGTATTTAGGGAAAAGAATTTATCTCACTGGTGTTGTGAAAGTCTCTCCTAAATAATCTACTTAGTTCTTCAAGGACATTTCCCCCCTTGAAGGTCCAACAGTTCTGTTCCTAAAATATCCAATTTTATTTCCCATGTAAAGCACCTTTTGCTTACTTCTGAAATATTATTGATATTTGCTTGTCTTTTATGGAACCATAGAGAAATAAAGGGGTCATTTGGACATATTCACTGGGCAAAAAAGTTCACAATAATAATAATAATAATAGTTATTGTTATTATTATTATAATATTTATTTATACCCTGCTTTATCTTCCAAAGGGGATTCAAAGTGGGTTAACATAAAAACATCAGCACAACCATTTGAAATATACAATTATACAAACATTAAAACAGGATTAAATATAAACCATATTTTAAAAATAATTAAATTCAAAGTTAAAAAGTTAAAAACCACAGCCCCCCCTGAATTGCTCTTCCATTTTTAACAGGCTGTCTAAATAAAAAGGTTTTAGCTTGCTGCCAAAAAGTTTAAAACAGAAGCTGACAACTTGTGGCCCTTTAGGTGTTTTCATTGCACTTCCGGAGCAATGATCCCTTGTGCCAGCAGGACTGAAGACCGTTTGGTTGGAGGTTCGAATCTGGGAAGAGTGCGGTTGAGCTCCCTCTGTCAGCTCCAGCTCCCCATGCAGGGACATGAGAGAAGCCTCCCACAAGGATGGTAAAACATCAAACATCTGGGCATCCCTGGGCAATGTCCTCAGAGACAGCCAATTCTCTCACACCAGAAGCGACTTGCAGTTTCTCAAGTCGCTCTTGACATGAAAAAGAATTGCACTTCCCATCAGCCTGTACCACTAGTTATGCTGCCTAGGACTGATGAAAGTTGCAATTCATCAACATTTGGAGGACAGTAAGATGCCACCCCTTGCTTCACCATTAACTCCTCCTAGCAGTCTATGGGTTCCTGTGAATGTCCTGGCTCAGCTGTCACACCTTGAAAGAAGAGGGCAATTAGCTCTGCATTTTGAGACAACTGCAGTTAAGTCAGGGCCCATAAATCACTAAAGCTTAAATAGCATCCTTGCCTGTGAGAGTCCAATTGAGGAGACAATCATACTCAGCCACAAGTGATCACATATATTAGCATAGTAGGTCAAGCCAGTCTAGGCTCTGAAATAAAATTGGAGTCAAGAATCATGCAAGGTCAACAGGCAGTCTGAAGGCCCAAGTCACATGAGTCATAAACATGAGTCCTCCTCTGAATTAGCCAGAAAGCAGGCCCTTGTCAAACCGCCAAGGCAGGCACTTAAACAGGCTGCAGCCAGCTACTCTTAATTAAGAGCTCTCCCCCTGCCTTTTCTGATCTGCTTTCTTAATTTGCCAGATTCTTGGACTTGGCTGTGCTGCTTCCGCAGCTACTGCTTCTGGTAGGTCAGCTGTGCTTCAGCAAGGAGAGCTTCAGGGCTCCCCTTCTCCT